AAAAACGAAACTTTTATTGAGACAAACCAACACCGGATACAAAGTACGAGACCTTAGTACTTCTTAATTTTTACCCCCATTTTCTCGTCACTCAAAATGAAATATAAGCAAAACCCACTTCAGAATTAGGCAGCATTGATCAAAGTTCCATTTTTTTTTTATCATTTTCTCTGTATTTTCTCAGAAACCAAACAGAGAAAAGAAAAATAAAAAAATTGAAAGAAATAAATAAAAAAATCAATAGTCCAAATCACCATTACCTGCTAAGAAGCTTCACTGATTGGTCCACTATCAAGAGAAACAATCCAGTGGATCCAATCACATGCTACTAAACTGCACTCAATAAGCTTTTCCCGGTAAGAGGAAATGGATTCTACTATTTACCTCAAAAGAGAATTGATTTCATCAGCCATGAAAGTGAGCTCAAAAGAGAGAGAAAGATTTTGATTCGTGGGAAGTATCAAAGTGTAAGTTAGATTGTGAATCTTGAATTCCGAGAGGAATTGGATTCTCCTTGTAAGTTTCAGAGAGACAAATGAGATATGTTAAACGTTAAAAAAAAAAAGCTTTTTTCTCGATATATGGCACTGAATTCTGGTAAAATAGTTTTTATGAGGTTGTCACACGCGTTACTAACGGCGCGTTGTGTTTAGAGAATTATAATTACATCATTGCATGGGTGTTCAGTTATTACTTTCTGTTAAAATAGTGATGTTTCATTCTTAAAAACAAAATTGATGATTAAATTTGATTAGATGAAGTAAATTATTAAAAAATAATTAAATAATATTTTATTTTAATTCAATTTAAATTTTAAATTTTTTATATCACCACATTATAATTATATTAAATTGTTTCTATTAGCAAGTGTAGTTATGATTACTTTTCAAAGTATTTTTATGATGAAATGTATCAAAATAATATTCTTTAATTTTAAAAAATTATTTTTTAAATCAATATATTAAAATGATCCAAAATATATAAAAAAATAATTTTTTTAAGAATACAGTGACAATTTCATCTAATTACTAATATTTTTAAAAACTAGAAAATAGTTGAAGAAATGTGCATGGCATAATTTTAGGGGGGGGAAAGAATAAAAAATGTTTTGTGAGATTGAATCTCACTAGAAAGTAAATTTATAAACCACATTAAGTCATTAACAAGGTATTTAAAAAGGTAATTAATGTGTAAAATTGGATAGAATGAAAAGGTATCGTATTTATTTTTAGCTAATTTAACAATTTGATTCTCCCAAAATGGGTAAAAATAGAGCTGAATGTGTAATTCTAAATAAAATCTGGATTGTTTAGCTTTCTAATTAAAAAAAAATAGATATGAACTATTTAAATATTTATGCCATATATGGTATAAAAAATAATATTATGAGAACAAATCAGAAAATAATAATATGGTAGGAATAAATAAGAAAAAGTAAGCAATAATTTTATCAGGCACATATATGGAATATGGTTTCTCCCTCTTTTACTTTCAATTCTTACATTTTCACTCCCAACTTTGTACTTTCCAAACACATTCTAAATATCAAGTTTTTTTTTTGAAATTTTATATTTATTTATATTTAATTTATGTATAAAGTTAATCCATCTATGACCTCTCATAATAAATGAATGGATTTTCTCATAATTTTCCATTAAATTTCCTTAAGAAAATACTATTTTCTGTATAAAATACTCACATATACATGGAATATTAACGGCCATGGACGGGCGGATCGATGGATCAATCTCAAACAATCAGAACCCAATTGATAAAATTTCATGTATTAGGATGAGTTTGGAAGTTTGATAGTAAATTAAGGGCCAAAACTAAGTGTGTGTCTATATTTGTCTTTTTCTTAAAAAAAGACACGACAGACAAACAGAATATTAGGGAAAACCAAAGTGCCAGTGGTGATTCACTGCCCGTACGACACGTGTATGCCTATATATAGGACTATAAAAGTCAAAACGGAGCTTTTTGTACGAAGGTATAGAAGAAGGGCTCCATTGATGTTGAGTCCTTATCAAATCCTTTTACGTGTGCTAAGGGGGGCTTGATCTTGAATTGACCAATCAAGGATTGCCAGGTATCATCTTTGATCTTGAAGTCATTGTGTAAAGATTGGACCCACCATGGATAATTGTTTTGTTGCTCATTTATTATTTATTATTTATTATTTAGTTGAGAAAAGTTGATATAGCCATAACTCAATAATCTATCGGTTCATATTTTAGCTTTAGCTAAGTTTTTTTTTTTAAATTAATATAGGTGTTTGGTCAGTTTGCATGTATTACAACTAATTCTACAAATTTTAAAGTTAATAACCATGTAAGTTTTATCTTGATATATAAATCGACTTCACTGAACTTTATTAACTCCTAATCTAGTCTGCCAAATCAAAATTTTAATTAAAATTAATAGTTTTTTTAAATAATATTATTTTAATTTTAAAAATTTTTAAAGTAAAATTATTTTAAATTTTCTTAATTAATCCAAATATCAAACCACGTTATAAATCTGATTTATAATCAGTTTTTATAACTAAAGAAACGACAATTCTTATCATGTAATTTTATGGTTAGCAAAACTTTTATAATTGGCTGTAAAAAAAATAACTACTAATAATTTTGGGTAGGATCTTATATCACATATAATGAGATATTATAAGTTTATTTTGAAGTGTGATTATGATTGTTTTTTAAAATGTTTTTTATTTAAAAATATATTAAAATAATATATTTTTTATTTTTTTAAAATTATTTTTGATATCAGCACATCAAAATAATTAGAAAATACCAAAAAAATATTAATTTAAAGCAAAAAAATAAAAAAATTAATTTTTTTTAAAATAAAAAAAAAAAAGAATTTAAACCATTTTCACCCTCCTGTAAATTATATATTCCATGATCATCTCCTTTAGCCCTGAAAAGATGAAGAAAATACTCTTTTTTTTTAATGTTTTCATACATATTTCTCTTTGTTTTAGAAATATACTTATTAAACACAAGGAATCTCAAAATAAAAAAAAATAAAAAAGAAACAAAAAACTTGTTTGATTTACATTAAAAATAATTGCAGAAATGAATATATGAGATTGGGTTAATAAAAAGAGTTTTTTTTTTTTTGCAGTGAGCAATTCGAAAAGTAACTTTCCATTTTCTAACTGAAAAGAATTCCTCTATTTTTCAATTAAAAAACCCACTAACTTTTCCAAGATTTAGTCTCCATAAATTACATTTTTCAATATGTTGTAAGGCCAAGGTGACGGATATGGCTTGGGGTAGGTTAACCAAAAAAAAATCTAAAAATTTAAAATAATATTATTTTTAAAAGGTGACTTTTTTTAATAAAATAATACTATTTTAATATTACTTAACCAAGGGTTAATTACGCAGCACAATTTCAATTCCATGCTCCTATCTGACTAATTGAAGCCCAATCCACAGTGTCTTAGACAAGTCCAGTCCCCAAAAACAGGCCCATATATTCAAAGAGACGAACCCGAGTTTCTTTATGGACTAATCCATCTTTCAGTGAAAGCCTATTAAGGCTACGATTTTGATACAAAAATACAAGGAACCGTTGATATTAAACCCGGGCTGAGTACCGAGTCACATGGATTAATCTTATTTAATTTAAAAAAATATTTAAAAATTTAATATTTCACATTAAAAACTTAAGAAATAATTTATATGAATGTAAGTTAGACATATTATAAATAATAAAGTTAAAAATATTATTTTAAAAGGAATTTTATTTTATATCATAAAGATATTTTCTTATTATTTTAAACAAAATTATGTAAATAAATTTTTTTTATCTCATATTAAAAAAAACATAATATTATTTTTATGAATATAAAATATATATACTAATAGGATTCTAATCTCATATTAAAAATATAAAATATTTTTTTAATGTTTATATAGTAAAAAAAAAAATGATAAGTTCACATGCATGAGATGATGCAGCTGAGCAAGAGGAAAACCTCCTATTGCTTTCATGAAAAAAGGGGACGTAAAAAAGAAAAACAGGTTTATACTCAAACTAGGTGACCTAACAAGTTATATAGTTTTCTCTGTACTATGAATATAGAATATGGGATTTTACTTGGTTAAGGTCCAAGCTATTGGGTTGTCGAGTTAACCTATGGTTTATTGGATAAATTTAGATTAAAACTAAAATAACTTTGTTTTAGATATAATTAAGAAAAAAAGCAATGTTATTTTGGTAAACAATTTCCTTGGAGTTAACCTAATTATATCTCACTCGAATTTGAATGAGTTAATTTAGCTGCTTGTTTATTTGTCATGTCATCTTAGTTTGAACGGATTAATGTTTGAAATGATTTGAAATAAAAAAAACCCTACCCAGATCATGGTGAAGCTCTAAATCAATGATTAGCCGGGTTTAATAACATATCATGTAGCAATTACTACACAACCTATTGACCCGTGCCCTATGAGTGCCGTGATTTCTTGCAAGATAGGCTTGATGGTTAACGACCTGCTCAATTTTCTAGAGTACCAGGCATGAACAAGCCCATCAGGTACGTGTTCAAGGATCCTTGTCTCATTCGAGAAAAATAACATGGGATCTAAAAGACTTCCTTCTATATCATACATTAATTTGAAAGAAATTGAACCTGCTTGGAAATTTTATTTCTTGAACATTTATGACAGGCACCATCCTAAACGTTTCCGAAACATGCTACCACAAACATTTCTGCTGCTGCAAAACATGATATATTTGGTGAAGTATCACAAAGACAGCTCTGTGATTGACAAACCTGCTCCTCCTATCTGACACAGACAAGCATCATTTCAACAATCATGCAAACTTTAACACACACATCAAGTTAAATCTCCACCCCCTCCTCCTTTTCTGCCTTTCCAAGCAAACTAGTGGCTGAAGCAGTAGCCATATCTCAAGTAAGATAAGGTACTGGCAACTAGCTTATGCAACTAAAATCACACTTTGCACCTAATCTCATCCTCTTGGAAACATAATAAAAACCCTCCCTATCCCCTCTTTGGGACATCGAACACCTGAACAAGTGTTACTTGCGTAGTTGCATTTGCATTTTTGCAAAGCTTCCAAGCTGTGCAGAGAGCAAAACCTGAAAACCACAAAGATGAAGCACCATTTTTCCCTCTTCTCATTTTCACTTGTCCTTCTCTTCCTCCACTGCACCCAAACACTATCCCAGTCTCCTACTTCAGCACCAGCAAAAGCACCTGCTGCAGCCTCTGCACCTCCACCAGCTGCGACCTCGTCTGCACAGGCCTCGCCGCCCGTTATGGTTCCTGTACAAGTTTCGAAAGGTCCTGTCAATGTCATTAAAATCCTCCAAAAGGCTGGCGGCTTTGCGGTCTTTATCCGCATTATAAAATCCACTCAAGAGGATATCCAAATATTCTCCCAACTCAATGACTCCAGAGATGGCGTCACCATCTTTGCCCCAACCGATGGGGCCTTTTCAGCCATTATCAAATCAGGTGTTCTTAACTCCTTAAGTGATCATCAGAAGATTGAGTTGGTGCAGTTTCATATTATACCAAGAGTTCTTACAACTGCCAATTTTCAGACTGTCAGTAACCCTATAACGACACTGGCAGGATCTGGTAGTCGTTTCGCTCTTAATGTGATAACCACAGAAAATATGGTGAATGTAACTTCAGGACTCACCAATACAAGCGTATCGGCAATTGTATACACTGATAGCCAGCTTGCTATCTATCAGGTGGACAAGGTGCTACTTCCTTTGGATATTTTTGCCCCTAAACCTCTTGCTCCTGCTCCAGCACCACCAAAGCCTAAAAAGGATGATGGTGCAGACACTCCTATGGTTCCAAAGGATATTTCTGGTGCAGTAAGCTGTGTCATGCTTAATACTATGCTTAATACTATGCTTATTTCCGGAGTTATCATAGTTGCTGCAGTTTTTTCTTTGTGACCCTGGTGTTTTGACAAGGTATCAATTTCTTCATCAGTGGTTCATGATTCTGCGGGTTGTAATGAACTGTGGTGTTTAAAAGGTTCATTGCTTTGAATAATTGTCATTTCCTTTCAATTCTATTTGTGTTCTTCCAAGTTCGTAAATAACTCTGCCCTCGATTGTTTTTTTTTTTTACTGGTTATTGCTCTTTTTCTGCCTTTATGTATTCTGTGGAATTGTAATTTATATCAGAGAAAAAGAAATATAATGTTGATGTGCTTTGATTTTTCAATCCTACATTAATTTGGAAGTAATCAAATTAAAATCTTGAAATTCACATTTATATGATAAAATCACCTCTCTGCATCAAAGCATCTCCTCAAACACGGTAACATATGGCCAGAAAATTTCTGCTGCTGTGACAATGTACACAATCAAACCATGAACCAAGCTAAGCTTTATCAACTCTCCATTGAAGACAATCAGACAAACCAAAAGATTGCCACTTAAGTCTTTCTAGACCTTGTATCGATGCTTGTGCCGACTCCAACATCTTTTTAGTATAACTGATCGAAAGTGCCTCGTCGCTAGAAACTACATGGTTGATACCTTTCTGCTACACTTGTTAATCTTCCACTTCGGAAGTTAGCTGTAAACTAGGAATTAAAGACAAGGTCATATCCCTGGAAGAAACAACATGGTAATGTTATCCTTGAAATTACACGATTGACTTTAGACATGTATTGGACGAAATTTTTTTCCAAATTCAACTACTCCATTTCACTTGAAACACCTGCAAACGACCAACAGTTGATGCAACTAGGAAAGGAGGTAAGCGAGAAATCATCAGCCAAAGGAGCAAAAAATCCTAGCACCATAATGATTAAAATCCACTTGGAGGAGCCTAAAAAGGTTTAAAGATGAAGCACATTAGTGCTACATAACATGAACTTAATCATACAAATATTACAGGAAAAATTAGCATTCATAACCTTTTTGCAAACAGATTCTTCTTCTAGTTATTCCTGAAGAGTACAAGCTGAAGTTCTTCCTGATGAAAAGAACGCAGATAATTTAATGATATCAAAATACATGATTGTATGCATGTAACATATGAGAGATCATTACATGAACCTGGTCTATTGGACGACAAAGCCAATCATATTGTCTGGATTTGCAGCACCAACTGGTTATAAACAGTGAGGTGCACTGCTTGAACCAATTAAAACTGTTTTGGTCCTATAGACAGGATTCATGTAATAATTTATCGATCATAAATGATATGTTTAGCAAGACATGGAACTAATAGCAGGCAATCTGCATCCAGCTAAAGCTGAAACTGTTAATTATGAAAAGCTGCGTTGTTTTTCTTTCCTTTTGTTTCCCAAACAACATGGTGCTTGCATGATATTCTTTCAATGCCAATAAATTTGTCAGTGGTTCCGGTCAGAAAACTCAGAACCAACCACACCGGAACCCAAGTACAGGAACCAATCCTTTTACTCTCTATCTATTTATCTCTCTGTATGCCCTAAGACTAAAAGCAACAATAGTGGAAAAATAAATGGAATATCCATTCAAGCATATCTATGAGGCACGCGGAGGCAACTTGCACTCAGGAATTCTCAAGAATGAGCTTGTTCACAACGAATAATCACAAGTGCCGTCAACTCCTCATTCCCAGGTTTGTCTAGTTCTCTTTGATTGTTAGCAGCCCCATGAAGACAACGAGCACAAGTCACACAGAAAATTTCTTGGCAATCAGAAGGATCATGCCAATGGTACTATTTTTCACCGGCAATTCCCAAAAGAAAAAATCCTAGATTGAAATAATAGCTTAGATCAAGTATCTGCAGCCATTAACCTGCTGATTCTAACTACTGAGGCTAAGAACACAAAACGAAGACATAGATTTGGTCATATGGTCACATTGATCACAACATTTTCTAGTGAATTTTTTTTTTTAACATTTATTTCCTGTATGCTTATCTCAAATTTCCGTCACTTCGCAACAGTCTGTCCATTATTTTTTCCCCTGGAAAACATGATACATTTGGTGAAGCATCACACAGAAAGTTGATTGATAAAGCTATCCTTCCTGTTTGACACAGACAGAGCTCATTTCAACAATCATGCACATCTTTAACACAATCTCCCCTCCTACTTTTCGAGAAAACTAGTTGCTGCTGAAGTAGCTGCTATGTTTGTGAAACTGAAATTACACATTTCACCTAATCTCATCCTCTCACAACTATAATAAAAACCCTCACTATCCTCTCTTTGCACATCAAGCATTTGAACAGGTAGTATTGGCATATTTCTATTAGCAATTCTGCATAGATCCCAAGCTATCCAAACAATACAACCCAAAAACCACACAAAGATGAAGCAACAGTTTTCCCTCTTCTCATTTTCACTTGTCCTTCTCTTCCTCCACTGCACCCAAACACTATCCCAGTCTCCTACTTCAGCACCAGCAAAAGCACCTGCTGCAGCCTCTGCACCTCCACCAGCTGCGACCTCGTCTGCACAGGCCTCCCCGCCTGTTATGGTTCCAGTACAAGTTTCGAAAGGTCCTGTCAATGTCATTAAAATCCTCCAGAAGGCTGGCGGCTTTGCAGTCTTTATCCGCATTATAAAATCCACTCAAGAGGATATCCAAATATTCTCCCAACTCAATGACTCCAGAGATGGCGTCACCATCTTTGCCCCAACCGATGGGGCCTTTTC